ATTTTAAATGAATGAATCAAACGTTTAATTAACACTTACTTAATATGGTCTGCTAAATTTGGTTACTGCTGACAGCAGTAAATGCTATACGAACTGCATTTTTTCCCAGATAGTTCTTCCTCAAAAGTCCTAAATGAATCGTTAATGAACCGATAAAGACTATGAATCGGAATCAGAATCGATCCCCTTACGGGAATACCATCTCTGTACGTGGACACAAAAACATTAGATTAGCGTTAACGTTATATGCGACTCACCTGTTCCAAGAAAATCAGCCGCGTCTATCCATGATGTCGATGTCAATGTCGATGTCGATGTCAAAACTCAAGAGTTCACGGTCAACTTTAAACTCTTATTTAAAACAGCTCACGCCTTGATTACTATGCCGACTCATTCTATACAGTAGGCCTACATCATATATTACACACTGAAACAGTGAAGTTAAACTGTTAGAAAGCAACTCCGTTGATAAAATAATCCAGAGAGATTAGAAAAAGCTTCCACTTAACCAGCGCGAATTTTCCAGAGCATTGACTAAAAGAGTTTACTAACAACACAAAGAAATGAACGCGTTGGTAAACAGTGTGAAAACAGATACTCGTATATTCCTTTTTTTTAGGGTCGATATCCAGCATTATAAATATCCTTTCGCGAGATTTAAAGCGCTAAAGCTGCGGAACAGCAGTGATGCTGTACTGAAGTGAGACTCCATCATGATGTTTGTTATGTTCCGTCACTCTTTCCAGCATCCTCTTCATCCGCACCTTGCTCACAGCGTTTCAGTTCAGCTTCTACATAAACGCCTACGATATCAAAGTGCTAAAACAGGTAGTTTGTTTGCTCATAACGCTAAAGCAGGCGGGTGGTCTTCCTCTGCTTTGAGCTGATGTGTTGGAAAAGCGTGCGTTCAGCGTTTGGCCCGCGCCTACAAACAAACAACCTCTCGACCCCACAGAGCGCGAGCTGCAAGTGTGACTCTGACGTAAGACGTGATTCACAGTGCACGAGCTCCGGGCTGGCTCTGTGGCCGGGAGCGAGCGCGAGTATTGAATGGCGATGTTAACATGTGATATGGGATATAGAATATTATACACATTATGCAGTTTATATTTATTATCTGAATGATCTTGTACACGTAATTATAAATATGTGTTAGATATTTTTTGGCTAGTCTATAGCTTGTGGTGTAAAACGTAGGATCGAGGGGCCCACCAGTTTTATATACAAGTAACCCAGTCAGGGTTCCTACTTATTTATAAACAATTGCCTGTTTGTTTGTTTGTTTGTTTGTTTTTTTTGGGGGGGTTCCATAGGCCTACCATATTGTGTCATTGGATAAGTAGATAGATAGGCTAGATAAAATTCCCAGGGCCTGAGACAACATGTATAAGGGAGGGTCCCCTTGTTCCCAATATTAAACTATGGGGCCAGGGACAATTTCCCAGCCTGAATCCTGTTTCTTTAACTCACTCAGGAGCAGTGTTATTTTAGCATCATTGAGAAAGGCCTATATTTATCATATATATATTTATTGTTTTTTAATATTTTAAATTAGTTTTTATTTTTGTATTTCCTTTTTTAGTTAAAATTTTAGTAATATTGTTTTTGTAATTTTTGTATACATCTATATGATTTTATTACTATTTCAGTTTTAGTGCAACAAGTTAAACTAAATTTGATGTTATTGCTTTGGCAACTAGCTAAAATAAGTTACAATTTGTAATACTTTATTTTATTTCAGTTAACAATTATTTTATATTGGTGACGTATGCTGGACTTCTCCAATCATTTCATCCACATAAAATCAGCCCCTTTATTATAATCAGCTGCAAACTCACATTCAGATCTGCTTCCATCCTATCAACAACTGATAGCTAGAACCAAGTGCTTTGCATTTTATTCTTTTTCGATTATCTGTTTCACTTGGATATACGGCACTATTTGAAAGAAAAGATCTGCCGGTACTTCTGTTACATCACCACTTTAATACTTTATACCTGCTGTCTGCTGCTTCGTGTTGTCTGCCATAGGCTACTAGTTGTATGTTGTATGGCTGTGGAGTCTGGTGATTTGTGAATGCCACTAAGGATCAGCATGTTTAAGAATTCCATTGTACTTGTGCAAATTGCAACAATGTACTTTGGTCTCCACTAGGCTACACACACAGTTCACATGTTTTTCTTCCTCCTTGATAGACTGGGAAGAACTCTCAGCTCCAGATATTAAAATTTGATCTGCTCAAAATCCTTAGAGATTTCAGCATTTCAAACAGCCAGATTGTGAAAGTATAAAAGAGAGATGCTGCCAACTTGTTTAGCAAAAGAAATGTAGCACTATTTATGTTACCAAAAATCTATCCTGGAGATTCAGTGGGTTTTATCAGATTTATAAAAGACAGATACAGCTATACCGCTTCTTTCCAAAAACAGCCAATGGTGTGGAGCACTTTTTTTGATGGATTGGCACAGTTTATTGGACGTCTACTGGACTATTGAATATCAACCATTCACTGCCATTCAACCATTCTCCCTTATCTGACACCCATTTCAGGTCTTGGGCTGTGTCCGAAATCGCCCCCTATACCCTCATTCACTATTCCCTACATTAGGTCAGTAAGGTCACTAATTCAGTTCACTAGGAGTGAATGAAAACGAGTAGTGAATTCGGACACTGAGTGCACCGGAAGGAATGCCGCTTTTGCATAGTTTGTGCTTGCTGTTTATTAATCATTTGAAACTAGCAAACTAGCAGCTCCAGTAGTAAGATTAAAGGATTTATCTTGAACTCTGTCACGGAAATTATGTATAAACCCTAATCAAACAATTTAATAATCAATTTACAATGAATTTATACCCGTGTTGTACATTATGCTGTAAGCCATGGATGAGCCCTTTGTAAAAATGAACGGATTGATTATTCAGCTGCGGGCGCCATCTTCTGGCGAGATGCGGGAATTCATTCGGCGCGTGACTCTCACGGTGCATTATGGGCATTCTCTAGCCGTTGAGCGTGCACCAGTTGTACACTCGTTTTTGCAGTGCATTGTGGGATTGAATGAGTGCACTCGAGAACGTCCACTATGGTTTCGGACACCACTAAAAATGGCTGTTCCCTCAAATAGTGCCCTATTTAAGGGTATAAGGGGCGATTTCGGACACAGCCCTGGAGTTTCTTTTAATGAGCTAATGAGTTGAATCAGGTGTGTTTGATTAGGGAGACACACAAAATGTGCAGTGCTGGGGGGCGCCCAGGACCAGGGTTGAGAAACACTGATCTACCGCAAGCGACAAACGACAGACCGGAAGTCATTAATTTCCAATGGAGAGTGCGTATGCGGAAAATTCGGATCCGATTGAGCTTCGGATGCGGTCAAATATTTGAAATTCTAATTATTAAATCATTATGTACATTGATTGGCCCCATAAAACTACTTTGTTTTTATTTGAGGGGGTCATTTGTTTTGTGTGGATGATATATTCATACATTAATTGATTACATTCATTAAAAGCGTAGGCTACATTTTGCCATGGTGATAAGCCGGGTTGCTTGCTTCTCGACCCGTTTGAAAGTTATGTGCGACTGCCGCTAGGGGGAGAAATAGAACAATCGTATCCAAATGTCGGAGACAGTGGACCTCCCCTTTAGCTAAATATATATCTTGACTTGAACCCTTTCAGTCCCTTTCCATTTTATATAGGCTTTATGAAATTTCTGGAGCTTGCTATTCACAGCATAAACTGATTCAAAACATTATTTGCAAAAAATGACCAGAATATAAAAATATTACTCATCTCTCTGAGGAAAAAAAATCATCCAAAAATCGTTGCTTGAACTGAATTGAGGTGAATAATGACACTATTGTCTTCTGTAGAGCTTCTTTACGACTGAACATTAGCCTACATTGTTTCATAATAGATGAACTTGGCAACATCAACACTGATAAAACTAAACTGAATTAACATTGAACTGACTTGAGCTGAATAATGACACTATTATCTTCTGCTTCTGTAGAGCTTTTTTACAACTGAAATTGAAGTTGTTTCATAAATGATGAACTTTGCAACACTGTTATTTTCCTGTTTATTGCTGTGAAGCTAATGTAAAACAGTCAGAATCTATGAAATTGATATTGTATAAAGTGCTATATAAATAAATGTAACTTGATTTGACATCTCAATGCACTGACTTTATCCAGTGAACACCAGATGGCGCCGTCAAACAACTGTTTAGTGCTGGGGCTCTAATGCCGTGCTTCTAAATACCACTGCTGACTCTGAGGGCCTCATCACTCCACATTTGCCTGTGTCTATGTGTGTATGCATAATGGGAGCATGTGTCTCCTTTTTATGCTAAATTAATAACATATGAACCAACATGTGGGAGAGATCTCCCACCAATGTGACAAAAACAAAAGCGATGAATGGCAAACAAACTGTCCTGACAAAATGATTCATGTTGAGGTCAAAGGGCACAGAGGTCAGATACTTAAGGCTGCAGGACACCACAGAGGGCACAGATTATTTATGTATTTGCCTGTGACTATAATCAAAAGTCTTTCAAATAGACACATCGGCACCTGCAAAAGCTTTACTCACAGAAAAACAACTCAAACATACTCATACAAATGAAGTTTTCTGTCACTCAGTTTGCTTGAGTGTGAAGATTTGTGGATTATTACATACTCAACAGTTTGAAAAAAAGTTTTGTTTTGGAATTTCAAAGCATAGTTTTAGACTCATGCCATCCGGCCCAGTGCCCTCGATTTCATCTGTTTATGTGCGTGTGTATGTGAGAAAGAGAAAAAGATAAAGAGAGAGTGGAAGAGCTCTGGTTCTCATTGAGTTTGGCATTACTTTACAGACAAAAAGATTTACAGGCCACAGAAACAGATGGAGGAACGCAGTACAAAGTAGGAGGAGAGAAAAGAGAGAGTTCAAGTTTGCACTGTCTTTAGATGTTTTTCACAGTCCATGTGTAAGTGGAGGTGAGTGAGAGTGTGTGTGTGTGTGTGTGTGGGTGTGTGTGTGTGTGTGTGTGCATTCATGCTGTTAATGGATTGCTAATTAAGGACTTCTCAGGTGAAGCCAGAAAAAGCAGGAGAGGAAATGGAGGAGTGGAGTGCCAGGTAAGAGGAGACGGTAGAAATAGATTTATCAAATGACGAGAGAAGATGGGGGGAAACAAGACAAACCTGAAGGAGGGGCAGAGGGAAAAGAAAGGTATGTGGCTGCCTGATAGTGTGAGAGGGAATACGGAGAGAGAAAGAGTAGAAGAAGTAGGCAAACTGATTAAATGGCACGAAAAGAGAGATCATAAGAGCGGAGAGACTCTGGTAAGAATTTTTACACCAATTAAAAGAAATGGCAAAGGAATGAAAGGGTGATTCTGTCAGGACGACTGCTCTGTTAAAGTAACTCTATCTGCTCTGAGCCGTAACATACAGTAATGACTTCCCAGTGATGGGGCCACTCCATTCTACACACACACTTCTAATGAGCACTCCGGGGCTTATACACAATACTGAGACTACTGTGAGTTATTTAAAGAGGAGAGCGATCAGACAGAATCAGCTTTGATTAAGATTTGTGCTTTGTCTTTTATCTTCACATTTATAAGTATGATCTCTTATGCTTTCTATTACGATTTCTTTTACGTATCAGGTTGATATGATAGTGTAGTTCTTTGTGTGGACGTTGTTTTTTCTGTATGTCTTGTGTGCAGTGTTCATTAGTTCTGTGCTTTCTTGATGAAATGAAAAAGAACATCTTTCACGATATCCTCAAGAAGATTCAAATCTTTGGGAGATAATGATTAAATTTTAAACACAATGCCGTTCCCTTATACTCATTCTGGAAAGTTTTCGTTTGGAGAAACAAACTTTTTATACATCTGAGTGCATTCTGGGTGAGAGTCTGAGTCAGAGCTCTGCCGGATTGAAACTTCAAAAGTCACCTGTTAAATGCATGTTTCAGATCCATACACGTCCTTCCATGAGCCATGAATCTGCTCTGTCATCTGTTGTTCTTGACAATTACCCTTCACCTTGGTGTCGTCAAGGTAAGTGGTTTATAGTTGCTTTCATGAGAACATGTTGCTAATGTGCTCTTATTTTAAATATGAAAAAATAATAAATTAAGATTACGAAAAGCAATTGGCAAATGCGTTTTTGAAATGCAATTTCAAAAATACATTTAAATTAGCCTATTTATTAATTTATTATTTATTGTTTTATTTTACAGCATTTTATAACATTAATTAAATGTGCAAATATGTCTATTTGTCAATTTAGAAAGTAATTGAATAATTTATTTTATTGTGATGTTTAACTACATTTTAAAACATGGCTTTAACAAGCAGTTGTAAGTCAAATTAAAAAATGACTTATTTATTCAAATGTTTGTTTGAAATGTTAAATTTAACCAATGAAAAATACCCTATGAAAAATATTCCATGCTGTGTGGAAAAAGCAAAAAGGTATTGATTTTTCTAAAAAATGTTTAAATCTAAAAAAAAAAAAGTTTATCATAGAATACTATCAGTCCAAAAGAGTTAAAAGAGAGGTAGAGTTTACAAGTGAGTCTAAGTCTGTAAAAACTGTAAAAGCTTTCACGCTTACTCTGCCATAATGGTTAACAGACTGCTGTAAATGTGCATGCTTCTTCATTTCACATGCATTCTTCATTCATGTGCCTCTCCCTTTTTTTAAAGCATATTTCTGCACACATGCTCTCGCAATATGACTCTCATCCATCAAGCCTTAAACACACTCAGTAATTCTCTCATATATTTGAAGATCTCAAAGATCAAGAAAAAAATTTAGGAAAATTGAAAAATAAATTACAGTTCATTGCTGTTTACTATAAAAGCAGTGAATCTAACAGACAGCTGAAGGATCATGTGACCCTGAAGACTGAAGTAATGGCTGCTGAAAATTTCTTTGCCATCACGGGAATAAATTAGATATTAAACCCAAACTTTTGAATGGTAATGTATGTAGCAAAAATGTCCTCCACATTTTTATATACAAGAACCCATTCCATGTGAATAACTTTATTTGTGTGTTTGTGTGTGTGTGTGTGTGTGTGTGTGTGTGTAAGGGTGGAAGAGCCCAGCGTAAACAGAGGCAGGCTGAAGAGAAGTTGAGGCCTTATTTGGGCAGAGTGGATCCTGGTGAGAGTTATTTACACTTACATTTACATTTAGTCATTTAGCAGACGCTTTTATCCAAAGCGACTTACAAATGAGGACAATAGAAGCAATCAAAATCAACAAAAGAGCAATGATATACAAGTGCTATAACAAGTCTCAGTTAGCTTAACGCAGTACATGTAGCAAGGGTTTTTTAAATTATATAATAAATAAAAAAGAAAACAGATAGAATAGAAAAAGAATAGAGCAAGCTAGTGTTAGAGGCCTTTTTTGCTTTTGTTAATAGTATAATAAATAAAAAGAAAACAGATAGAATAGAAAAAGAATAGAGCAAGCTAGTGTTAGAGGCCTTTTTTGCTTTTGTTAATAGTATAATAAATAAAAAGAAAACAGATAGAATACAAAAGATTAGAAAGCTAGTGTTGTTTTTTTATTAAAGAAAACAAGCAGCAAATGAATAGAGAGCAAGTCTAAAAGGGACAAGTGTTTTATTTTTTTTAAAGAATAGAATTAGAATAGAGAGGGCTAGAGTTAGATTAGACGTAATCTAACATTAGGTTAGACATTATTATTTAATGTCACTCTTATTTTATGACTGGTTTTGAACATTATTTATTCAGTATACAAAGTTGCTTCCTCTTTTTACTATTAAACTCACTCTCTTTCTTTCTTTCTCCTCTTCAGAATCCCTGTGTAAGTTGTTGAAATGTCACAGTCCTATTGGTTCCTGGTGCCAAGTAGTGAAGGAGGGGGGAGTTCTCGCTCCTAAATGTATGTGTCCAAAGACCTGCCCACGGTAAGACACACTCCAACAAACTAATAACAATTTTCCAAGACACCTGAGCTGATTTCATTGGCAAGCTACTTACAGTGAGCCAGTGGCATGAACAGTGCAGCTCAGAGCTCAGTGTCATGATTAAGAACAGAATAATGACGTAAGACACTCCTTGCGGCTCACAGACTCCTTGGAATCAAACCAGCAACCCAGACATCTAACTACTGGTATATTCGCTCTGTGCACTTAATCTTTAATGCAGATAAATGTCACATGCAGAAAAAAAAAAAGAAAGAAAAAGAGAAGATGTGCTTGAGGGAACCCACTTTAAAAATGCTGATATAGTTTAAAAAATAATATGACATTTTATTAAAACATCTCAGGCAGAGATGTTTTTTTTTTTTTTACAATACCGTATGTAGTTAAACATATTAAAACAATCAATTAAACAGCTTTAAACTTGATTCATTAACAATAGCTTTACTTCTTTCTACATCAAGTGGTGAGCCTAGTACCCAAGTTAGTTATCATTAAAAAAGTAGGCTAATTAAAAAAGTCTATAAATAAATATATTGAAATTCATTAGTATTAATGTACCTTCATGACATGTTAAAATCGACAGTTTTGGTTTTTCTAAATGTCTCTTTTGATGGTTTCATGCCAGTTCACTGCTCGAAACACTGATAGGCACAAACTATTTTTATCCTCACTGCAAGTGAGATTAATGCAGTCTGTATTTTCTTTTAACTTGTGTAATTGTATTCATGTTTTTTTGATGGCACAACCTGTCCATGTTGGCATCTGTCTAATTTGGCTGCTTCTACTAAGTGACAAATGATTTTATGCCACAATAGTACACAGTTTGATAAGACGCACAGACTGTGATGTCAACAACAAAAAATATGAAGAGCATTTTCTCATTCCATTTACAAAATTAGCTATTTTTGCACAATTATATGGTTTGTTGAATTGTATTATTTGTGTTTAGTATTGTTACCTGCTGTTTTAACGCTGAACAAACCCAGTCGAGAAGCACTTTGTGTGTGGATGTTGTTTTCTACAGGCAGGGGGCAGCAGTGTGCAGCGTTATGGGGAAGACGTACAGCAACGAGTGTCTTCTTCACAAGGAGGCCTGCCGCAAAAAACGACGCATTGGCAAGGCACATAGTGGAGCTTGTCTGGGTAGAAAGACACACACACACACACACCCTGCTGAAAAACAAACAGACAACAGAAACCATCACAGAATTTATAATGGTTTTACTGTTTATAATGGGAATTGTATTGGTTTTAATGGAAAATGTATTGATCCCTGTGGGTCTTTACTGGTAATGTGTCACCTTTTATTGGTGACTTATTAAAACCGCTAAACCCTAATGGAATATTTCCCAAAACACACTAAAGGAAACCATTTTTTAAATTTTTTAAATTTTTTTAATGGTTAATAGTTGATGGTTTGTAATGTTTGTAATGATATTTGTAGTAGAAAACATTAGAATTTCTGTGATGATTTCTACTGTGTTTTTTGTTTCAGTATTGACACACACAAAAAGTTTTAGCTTCATTATATTTAAATGCACATTCAATCACTGTCGAGTGATGTTGTCTAAAAACACTCTTGTGGTTTCCCTGTCAGTAAGCGAGGCTGAGTGCTCTGAGGAAGAGTTCGGTCAGTTCCCGTACCGTCTGCTGGACTGGTTCTTACTCCTCAGCAGAATGGGAGAGAGATACACACCAGCCGCTCCCTCTCAAAGCTGTCTCACACACACCCAGCGAACCCAACTTGCAGAGGTAACACAAAGAAACACACTGAACTCACTCAAATCACTTACACATAGGGCCAATGCCATCCTTAGATCATTCACACTTTGCATGCATTTTTGCTTTTCAACACACACACACACACACACACACGCACACTATTCAAATACTTTACAACATATGTTGAAATTGTGGTATGTGTGATGCTTTATGTCAAGATTCATAAATATGTCAAGAGTCAAAAGAAACTCTTGATTCATGTACATCCACAAACCATCCACTTCCAAGCATGTCTCAAGATTAAACTTCAGGCAAGTAAATTGATACCATTAGGGTATTTTGATTGGGAAAAAAAACTCCTATTATTGATCACCTGCACATTGATTATCTTTAAATTATTAAATGGGAACCCTGATAAAACCATAACAACTACTCTGAATTTAATTCTAACCGAAAGATCCTTTAAAGATTTCCCTATGTAGTGGAAAGAAAGAGGCCAATCATGCTAAAGTTAATGGCAACACATCATTCAGATCCCTTCAAATGGAAAAAAAAGAATTTTCCTCAGTATTGTGACACATCCAAGTGAAACAGATTATTGAACAGAAAAAAATATAGGGTACAGAGTTAATTCAATCCACTGATTGTTGATTGGATGGAGGCAGATCTGAATGCGAGCTTGCAGTCGATTGTAAGAGAAGTGGCAGGGTTTATGACGATGAAAAGATCAGAGAAATCTAGTTTACGTCATCAGAGAGAAGTCTGTTGTTTCACCGAAAGATCGAGTTACAGCATTCTGATTTAAAATTACAAGCTCAAACCATTTTTTTTTATTAAACACATGTATAGATGAATTGTTCACAAAAAGATCAATAACATGCATTTAGAAAATAGATAGTGTGAATATCCATTTCATGCCAACTTTAAGCATTCCCTTGAGACGCTAGTCACGCTACCCTTCTAAAATTCATTCTATGTCAAAGTACATAGTGTATAGTGTAAGTGTGCAGTGTATGATAGCCTCATTTGGGACGTAACTCTTTTTTGAACCAGTCAGCACTATTTTAAGCCTGTAGGCTAATCGAAGGCTAATTGACTATAATACTTGTAAAGTACTTCAAAAGACTTTAATTTAAATGTTAAATGAGGATAAATAAATCTCAAAGTCATTTTCTATGATTTCTAATCAGACACCCATAAAAAGTTATCTCAGCCGATGGATGCTAGGGAATCTTCTTTTCTATTCAGTTGTGAATTTGTGATAAAAGCATTAAGTCCTGATCCTTTATTCTTTTGTCTCTCTCCGTCTATTTTCTCCCTTTATTTTTCAGAGAAGGTTTGTTCTGTTGGATCGTAACAGGGACGGGAAATTAAGCAGGAGAGATCTGAGAAAGCTTCACTATAAGCGGATGCCACTGGAGCACTGCGCTCAAAGATTCTTCCAGTAACACACACACAGAAAATGACACTAGTGCCTATGGAGACACACAATCACCTCACCACTGTGATTTTGTGATGTTTTCTCCTGTCTGACCTTCTTTGTATTTGCATAATATTACTGCAAACCCTCCCCAGCACCCTTCTGATTATAGTACACATGCCTTCAGGATGTCACCCACCCCTCTCTCTCATCCTCTTTCAATCTCTCTTCTCTCGCTCTTCCTCTCAATCTCTGTCTCTCTCTCATTCAAAGCTGTTGATGCTTATTGCCTTCCTACTGTTCTAATGTGAGTGGTGTCCTTTACGGCTGATAGCAGCGGAGAGAGACGTAGGGGGATGTAGAAATCAAAAACAAGAGCGACAAAGGCAAAGAGTAGAACTACACTTGTAGATTTCAACAATATGGTGTTTGTGTGTGTGCGCGTAGGTCATGTGACAAGAACAAGAATAAGAAGGTGATCCTGAGGGAGTGGACATCCTGTCTGGTTAACCGGTCAGAACGCTGGTTTCAGGATTTCATGTGTAAGTCTATATTTGTTTCATCTGAATATGAGATTCTCATGTGTAAACATGTTCAAACACATACACACACATCGTGTCCCTTCTTCTTCTCTCTACCGCAGCCGTGAAGATGGGCTCACCAAAGCTGTGTCCTGTCCCAGACAACAACCTTTACATTTAGATGCTTTATCCGGGTGGAATTGTATTTTAAAACCTATCAGCTTGACTCATGAATATTAATTAACTAGGTGACATTTATCTAGAAGTTATAATAATTGATACCTCTAGAAAGCTAGCCATTTACATTCTGCATTTTTTGGATTAAAAATACTGTAAAACAGTGATATTGTGAAATATTCTTACAATTTAAAATAACGCTTTTTTTATTATTTGAATATATTGTAAAGTGTAATTTATTCCTGTGATGGCAAAGCTGAATTTTCAGCAGCCATTACTCCAATCTTCAGTGTCACATGATCCTTTGGATATTATTCTAATATGCTGATTTACTACTTAATCAACTTTTCTTATTATCATCACTATAATGATAAAAAAAAGATAATTGCTATGCTTAATATTTTTAGGATTAAAATAGAAAGTTCAAAATAACAGCATTTATTTAAAATAGAAATCTTTTGTAACATTATACATGTCTTTACTGTCACTTTTGATCAATTTAATGCATACGTGCTGAATAAAAGTTTTTATTTTCTAAAAAGTATTAGGTAAAAAAAAAATTTAAATGTACAATATATATATTTTTTTTTTGCAAAATACATGGCTAATTTTGACTATTTGCCAGCTATATAGTTTTTTTGTTTGTTTTTTGTTCTGTTTTGTTTGCAGCCAAGCAAATCAAAGCACTTAAAACACAATGACTGCCCAAAAAGTGGGGGGATGAAATATCTAAAAGAGTGGGTTATAATAGTTGATTCACCTCTGTTATATTTAAAGTCTGACAAAAATGGGACATAATAAAAGTCTAAATATCTCTGTTGCTTTTTCATTGCTTTGCGCATGTATTTGTGTATATGTTGGGACTCAGTGCTGCAATCTAGTCAACAAAAACTGCTTTTTGAGGGACAGCGGCATGTATCATGGATCACACAAGCAATTACTGCAGAGAGGGAAAGAGAGAGAGAGAGGAATTGGGCTATAACCTTAAACAGAGGGATGGAGAGCAGATTAATTGAGGGGTGGTGTTTAATAGGAGAGAGATGGAGAGAGAGATGGATGGCCCATGAGAGAGATAAAAGACTACGTGAGCAGGGATGAGAGGAATAGATAATATGGCAGAGAGACGGGGAAAGGGAAGGACACTGAAAGAGAGAGAGGATCTCATAATGCACTCACAGAATGGGACGGGGAGGGGGACAAGTTACAGTAAGGAGAGAAAATAGATTGAAGCATGAAAAATGGATCAGAAAGAGAGAGACGGCGGGGGGAAGGGGCGTGGGAGAGAGAAAGAGTTGCAGAAGGGTGTGATAAAGGGTGGGAAGAGATTGTTAGATGGAAAGAGAAAAAGAGGAGAGTAACTAAATGGCATCCCACCACAAAGTAACTTCCCCTTATAGATCATTGATGTCTTCCACTTTTCCAAACACTAAACGCTTCCAATCATGTCTGCCAAGTGTGAAAAATTGATTCTCAACATTTGAAAACAAGTAGATCGATTTTTCCATGTCTATGTGACCCCAGGAAGTGCAGCAGAATAATCAGATCTCATTACATTTGTATCTTTTAAAGTGGGTTTGGTTTCCTGTAGCTGTAGTGCAGTCAAGAATCATCTCATCTGGCAGCATCTTCTGCATTGTTTTGGTTTATGGTGCGGTTTGATATCCGTCATTGTGTTGCGGGATCATTCTGAGTTGTGACATTTTGAGGTTATGCTTTGAGTTTAATGTGTGCTGTGATTTTCTTATTCTTGTGTTGTTAATACGCAATGTAGTTTGGTCCTTTGTTGCCTTAGTAAATGTTTTCATTCAGACTTGAATATCTGTCAATATATATATATATATATATATATATATACAGTAGTCAACATTTGAAGTGGATCAAAAAAGTTAATCAAAGTTGTCCTAAGACAAGAACGGGTATTGTTTTGGTTTTAGGACAACTTTGATGAAAGGTTTTTATATATATATAAAACTGTGATAGATGAACATTATATCAGTTAAAACATGAAAACTGGTAAGATAATTTGCGATAATTATTGGTCCATTGTATACAGTACTATCTAATTTCTTACCTAAATACATGTTTTATTGATTACCATGAAAAATTATATTGACTTTCTTACTCATTTTGTCAAAAAACAAAATTTGATACACTACCATTCTAGAAAATACACTACCGTTCAAAAGTTTAGGGTTGGTAAGATTTTTTTTTCCAAAAGAAATCTCTTATCTCACCAAGGCTGCATTTATTTGCGCACACACTCACACACACACACACACACAAAACAACAACAAATTTAGCCATTTTCTATTGGAATATAATTTTAAATGTAATTCATTCCTCTGATGGCTGATGGCAAAACTTAACTTTCAGCAATCATTACTCTAGTCTTCAGTGTCACATGATCCTTCAGAAATCGTTTTAATATGCTGATTTGGTCCTCAAGGAATATTTCTTATTATTATCAATGTTGAAAACAGTTGTACTGCTTAATGTTTTTGTTGAAATCATTATGAAACATTCTTTGATGAATAGAAAATTCAAAAGAATAGCATTTATTGATTTGTTTTTGTAATAATGTAAAAATCTTTACTGTGACGTTGATCAATATAATGCATCCTTGCTGAATAAGCATGTTCATTTCTTTAAAAAAGTCTTACTTTTGCCCAAACTTTTGAACAGTAGTGTAAAAAAAAATCTCAGAACTGCAAATTCAGTGTCAAAGACAAAGTATGTAACAATCATGTGTTTGCCCCATAGACTTCCATTGTAATTGCATTATTAGTCAAAATTATTGTCTATTCTAATGTCAATAGAGCTTAACTTGTATTTAACCCAGAATATTCATTTATTGTGCATGTGTTTAGGAATGAGTCCTGTCTGTGCTTAAGAAGATAAGAAGCATGATAATAGATCTATTTTCAGTAACATTTCAAAGCTTGGCAGATCTTTAATGAATGTAAGTCAGAAAGAAAGAAGAGAGAGAGTCTTTTTATTGGTAAAAATGAAATGAAATGAGGTCTAGTGGGGAGACACGACCCCTGGGGTCAAATCAGGCCCCCCTCAGCTCTCTCGAGACCCTCCCCATCAATCAGCTATAACTGTTTCAGGACACACACACACACACCATCTCATTAAGAGATCTATTGTCATATGCTCTGCTTCAGACTCAAGGACAGCATACACACACACACACACACACACACACACATATACACGTACATTTCAGCCTTACACCCCATCTCTGGTCACAACTCTAGTGTCTCTCTGAGGCCACACAGACAGCTATCCTGCTTTTGTAATGGAAGCAGATGCAGGAATAACAGATCCATATGGAATTGTTGTATGGATGAGATCATGTACATGTGTCATACACTAAACTCCCATTGGACGAGAGATCATAGTGACCCCATGACCTGCTGCAACCATGACATCACACACTGAGGTAAAGCTGAACTCTGGGTAAAAGTGACGTGTTGATTGGTTAAAAAGACAATGCACTTGACAGCTGAAGATTTATGAGTGAATTTTTTTCCATCGATCACTGACATTTTTGTTTCTTCCTCTCTTCTGGGTTTTTTTTTTCCATATTTTTCCCCTTTTTCTGTAATTCGAAATAAAATATAGTAACATAATATAAATGTTTATAATACTAAAAATATAATATATAAAAAATAAAATATAACTGAAAGAGTAAACTAACAAAATTTGAAATTGACAAATTTTATAAAGGGAATAAACTAAAATGGTAATACTAATTGATTTAGACAGATTAAGATTTATTAAAGTGATTTAGTCAACTAAAGATTAAAGATAACACTAAATGTACATTTTTTTCCCTCAATCACCAGCATTTTTGTTTCTTCCGCTCTTCTGTTCTTTTCTGAATTTTTTTTTCAATTTCAATTTTAGTGTGCTTTATTGTTATGACAAAAACTGTGAGTTAGTCAACTAAAGTTTTAGCAGCCTAAAGATGAAAAATAGCACAAAATGTTCCAAAATAGTGATGTGATATACTATTTCCACATACAGTATATATATACTCTCTCACTCACTCTGTCTTTTGGGTCCCTGGAGAGAATCCAGTTTTATATGGGCAGATGGGCAACTGTTTGTCATCTGCTGTTAAAATTCGGATCACTATCAACAGACCACTATCACATCTCTTTCATTTCTGTCTTCTCTCTATCCCTTCTTTCTCTCTCTTTCTGGCAGTGTTGTGTTATGCAGGAACTTTGTCCTGAGTTACAGAGGTCTTCTCATCATAACCACCAAACTGGAACGATATAGTATTTAATACGCTAACAGTCTTTATAGGACTAATGGGCTGCATTTGTGAGAAACCTTTAACCAGCCATAAATAATTGATAAAACCTGAAAATTCAATTATTTTAATTAAAGATACCTTGTAGGTGTGTGTGTGTGTGTGTGTGTGTGTGTGTACAGAGACAGAAACATCCAGCAAATATGGTGAATGAATTATTAAAAAGAACACAAGTGAACAGAAATTCTGCATGGTAGAAAAAAAACGAACCAGTGAAGGAGAATGAGAGAGCGAGTAAGACAGAACACCAGTCAGAAACTCAGAAGAAGATGGAACGTGTATGTGTGCATTCATGTACATGTCTGTCATTTTAGTATCTCTGGTAAAATCCAAAAGGTTAATCAGTTATAAATCAAAACTTCAAAACCCTGGTAGTATCACAGAGAGCCAGACTTCAGGCAGTTCAAAGGGATTTTGAAGTGGGCCAGACCCATTTAAAGCACTCACCAAGCTCTCCGGGGGGACAAAAGTGTGGGGCCCACCTCCAAACACCCAAAGATTTAACACTGGCCCAATTAAAGCATCATACTTTAAAATAAAGATCTTTTAGACAAGTTGGTGAGATTCATTCCTTAAATACTGTAATATAGCATACATGCATGCAAAGGTTGTTGCCTTCTAAGAAACCTTCTTTTGGCAAGCTTTGTATGTATGGGCCCTTTTATAAAAAATAATGAGTAAATAGATATGTGTAAAAAAAAATTTAAATAAATAAATAAAAGAAAATAATAACAAAAGAAAAAAATCCCTACTTTCACTCTTTTCTATGTGTGTTCATAAATTGTATTAATTTGTAAGTGTCATATTTGGCAGTTGGAAAAAAAAAGTAAAATATGCCTTTTTTGAAGCTGCTGTATATAAAAAACACAA